TAATAAATCGATGAACTAATCTTTATGAATTGATATTTGTTCATCTCTATATAACAGACCATTTGGCTTAGGAAAAAATGTTTGTTATAGAGAGAATCCGTTTTAGACAGTAATAATTATAATTTATATATGGGACATATAAATTGTATAAGGATTAGCGGGATATTGTGTGTGCATATGCATTGATTGTGCAATTTATGAATTCATAAATAATTCTTCTTTTTATATTAAAAAATCTACATCTACGTATATATATATATAAATTATAGTATTTATTTATTTTTTTGAAAAAATTATATTCTTAACGACTCTTTGCTGCAACTTTTTGATGTGCACCACGAGCTTGTTGTTTTGATATTTTAGGTTGTCCACGAGAACCTTTATCAATCTGTAAAAATTTAAAATATATAAATATGTGTCTTTTCTTATTCCTTCTCTTTCTTTGCCTTTATTAATTTATATCTTATAATGGAAAATTTTTTTAACAAACCTTAGCTTTTTCAGTTTTACGTTTAGTTTGTTCAACTTTCTTTTTTTCTTTTGCTTCACGAATAGCTTCTTGACGAGCAGCTTCTCTTACTTCTGGCTTTTGATTACGTTTGGCGCGAATAGCATCCCATGAAGCACCCACAACACCACGTTGATGTTTTACAGAACGTCTTGTACGTTTTTTAGCAACTTCTTCGGTGATACCTTTTTTATGCATGCGTCTATAAAGTACTGTCCAACTAATTTTACGTGGATTTAATCGTTGTAGAAATAATGATTCTGATTTTGAACCAGTGAAGCGATAAGTCTAAATTTATTGATTTTGAATGGATGGATGAATTAGTGAACGAGTGTTGATGGAACGATGAAAGTGATGGTGATGGAATGAACGAGCGATGAATTAATTAATGAACAGTAAAGGAATGATGATGGTGGCGATGAATTCATTAATAAACGAGTGATGATGATATTAGATCATCATTATTATCATTATTAAATTATTATTACATCTTAATTATACAATAATTACTAACCCTATTATCAGTCTTGACATAAATTTTTCCTTTGCCAGGATAAATTTTATTACCCGAAAATGAATCTAATTCAATTCTAAATTATTATTAATGAATTAATGAATTAACGGAATAAATTGATGTGAAAGTTAATTATATATATATATATATATATATATATAATAACCATAACTTCTTTCCCTCTTAATACCAATTTCAAAATACATACTTCATGATTGCTTTTTAAAATATTTGAGAAGTGATGGTGTGATTAGAGTGAATTAATAATTTAAAAAAATTTTT